AGGTAAAATTTTTCACGAAGATAATGCAATATGCTTACTAAACATAAAGATAAGAACCGCTCACCATTGTTTTTTTATGTTTTTTATACCAAAATGCTGAATATAATATGAAAAGTTGGTGCGTTTTACAGTGGTTTTAAGCACGCCCCCTCCCTTCCACTAGGCTGGGCGTGACAAGCTTTTACTGTCTATGCTCCAGGCCTGGAGTTACGTTATATTGGAGACCTAGCTAGCAAAAATGGTTAACTATTGTGTTTGTGCGGGATGTACGAATACATCAAAAACTGGGGAGAGGCTCCACAAGTTCCCCAAGGACAAACGGCTGATTCGTGCCTGTAAGTGTTAGCATAACTTACCCGAGGTAGAGCTTAGATCGGGCCCAAAAAATTCAAGCAAGACCCTACCCGAGCCCACTGTGTCCGAGCCCGGTCCGGCCCTGCCCGACACATTAACTGTAATTATGAGCCCGGTTTAAACCCGACTATTTTTTAATACGTGGGTCGTTATAACTGATGTTCTCAACTACTTTCTATATTACATTCTCCCGCCCGCAACATTTATGTTTTGTCCCGCTCCCACCCGCAAAAAGACTTTTTTTCTGTACCTCCAAATACTTTCAAGTTAGCCTACGTGTCGCCACCATACACATCAGCAGCATACATGCTCCTGATCACTGTTATAACATAAAGGCAAGCGGGCTACTGCGTGCATAGTCTGTCATGACTGTGCGGAAAGTGCGCTCCCATAATAATTCCTAAAAAGCTGACATCAGTTCATCGCGATCTCACACATCTCTGTTATTATCAATGAATCTTTCATAATATATACACTATGTTTGTTATAATTAGAGGATTTGCCAGCATACAGAATTCAGCACTGAACAAAAAGTCCGTTCTGAGCGGTGAGGGGAGTCCATCGTAAATGCTTCTGATTGGCCATTATTGCATTCAAGAAATCAACACATATGTCTGTGATTGGCTACATCGCTCAACGCTGCAGACATGTTAGAAATAGAAACTCTGCCTGTAAACCGTTTCTATTTTGTTTTAGTTGTTCTTATTGCTTTTCTGCAACAGATGAATAAAAATGTATTCGTTTTTATGTTTTATTCATAGATATTTCTAGTTTGCGGGAGTCCCGCGAATCGTTTTATTCTCCCTCAACCGGCACACACAGAGTGAGTGCATTGCCGCCCGCCCTCCCTTTTATGACGTCATCACCCAGTTACGGTAAAAAACATGCTACCTTTGAAGAAACCCCAATAAATGTTATTTTAACGCATTTTAAGACAGAAATTTTTACATATATACACATTGAGCACTTTAATTTACACATTAATTGGTTGTGGTGGTTAACCTGCTATTTACACTTTAAGCTTTCTATAGATATATTTTTCAGGTCTGTGAGGCAAGTATAGCCTATAGTTTCGGTTCATTTATGAGACGAGCTCCAGTTCACGTGCAATGCAATTGCGTCGGCGCCTCAGTGTCCTGATTATATCGTCTGCAATATTTGCTTCTTATTTATTAAATCCAGGAAATTGGTTGATTAAACATCGATTAAAATTAAGATACAATTTATACAAAACGAAATTCACTTTAAAGAAAGGCTTTCTACAAAATAAAACTTAATTAAGTGGTCAAAATCATGTCTGACCCACTCCAAATGTCTCCCGATATATTGGGTATCTTATGATCCTATCTTACTCATCTCATGCGGTTCCCTTTTCATTTAATCAACATAGATGAAATAAAAAATAACATCATATTATTTAAAGATAAATATGAAACTTATGTTTAAGTTTAAAATGGTAAATGGACTGCATTCATATAGCGCTTTCACAGACCCAATGGCCACCAAAGCACTTTACATATTGCCTCACATTCACCCATTCACTCACTCACTCATACACCGACGGCGGTGTAAGCCATGCATCCAGCTCGTCGGGAGCAGCTGGGGTTAGGTGTCTTGCTCATGGACATCTCGACACTTGGTCAGTTGGAACCGGGGATTGAACCACCATCCTTCCGGTTTGTAGACAATCTTCATGAACCACTGAGCCACTGCCACCCCACGAAGTTTAAAGGGATACTCCACCCAAAAATGAAAATTCTGTCATCATTTACTCACCCTCAAGTTGTTGCAAACCTGTATGGTAAATGGTAAATGGACTGCATTTATATAGCGCTTTCACAGACCCAATGGCCACCAAAGCGCTTTACAATTTGCCTCACATTCACTCACCATTGGTATGAGTTTCTTTCTTCTGCTGAACACAAAGGACGATATTTTAAAGAACGATTGGAACTTTGGCACCATTGACTTTCATAGTATTTTTTTTTTTTTCTACTATGGAACTCAATGGTGCCAAACAACTGTTTGGTTCCAATCGTTCTTCAAAATATCTTCTTTTGTGTTCAGCAGAAGAAAGAAACTCATACAGGTTTGCAACAACTTGAGGGTGAGTAAATGATGACAGAATTTTCATTTTTTGGGTGGAGTATCCCTTTAAGTTATATTTGCTCACCTGCTCTAGTGTGTAGCTGCATGTGTGCGTGCATGTGGGGGAGGGGTGCGATTTTCGAATAATAATCGAATAATACCCAGCGATCTTCGAATATTATTTTTGCTTGAAATGCCCATCCCTACCGGGTAGTCACTGTAATATGGCGTTACATTTTTTTTATCTCATTGTAATAAGGAACAAAAATATGACCAAATAGATTTGACATGCATTAAGATTTGACTAAATTAAGAGATGTAAATTGTAGTTGTAAAAGTAATGACTTGTAAATAATCTAGTAAATCTCTCACTGTACATTGCTATTCTTGTTATGGTGGTGCTTATTTTATATACTTTTTCAGATTTATTGCATAACGGTCACCTGTTTCACACAAATTCAAAATTTGTGTTATTTCAAGTGTTTTTGAATCATTTTGGATGTATCTATTTTTATGTTTTTTGGAGCATTACTTTTTGGTTCAGTTTGGATATCTTTTATTTACTTTAATATTTATTAACGTAGTTAATACAAGTAACAAGGGAATAAAAGACAAGGATCATGCCCTAAAGAAATATACTGCTCTCTACACAAGTCTTACAGGATGTACAGTTTATGGCCATGATATGGTGCTGAAACAAATATGAGTGGGAGTGTTTGAAAGCAGGTACCAGATTGACCTGGTATTTTGTACCGATACTGCAGAAAGGATGATATTATTAAATTTCAACTGACACCTATCAACTTGGTACCAGAGTATCAGTACTTTTGACAACAATCAGAACTAAATAAAACCAGCTGTGTGATTGCTGCCTGCCTTATACCATATCAAAAAGATTAGTTGGCAAGTTACTGAATTAATGGCCCTGCCCAAATGGCACACTTCATTTGCACTTTCGGTCTCATGGACTAACAATGGCTGCCATGCGCACGCGCGTCCTTTAAAGGAGAACTCCGGCGCAAAATGAACCTTTGGTCTAATCACACATTGTTACCTAGTCAACCGTTATCTGAGATTTGTTTTCATGATTATCGAATGTAAATAGTTTTATCTCTAAAAACAGTTTAGCCTATAAAGCTAGTATAACGCTAGTATATTGGGCATCGAGTAATGACAAATAAAAATCGCTTGTTAATACCACTAACAAGGCTCAAAATAGCCCCACACTAGTCTAGCACGGTAGCATAATGAGGGTCCCTACCTTCAAACCGAAGCATTGAGAACTTTGTCAGTGTCCAGACAGTTTAATAAGAAGATATTTAATACATACAGTCAACTTCGCGAATACAGGCAGAAGCCATCTTTGTAAAACAGTCTCTACCAGTTGATCTACGAACGCCGATCCAAGCCTGCTGTTCGCGCTCACCTTATCACAACTTATAGCTCGTTCACATCTCACCAGCGCACTTGGATCGGCGTTCGTAGATCAACTGGTAGAGACTGTTTTTCAAAGATGGCTTCTGCCTGTATACGCGAAGTTGACTGTATGTATAAAATATCTTCTTATTAAACTGTCTGGACACTGACAAAGTTCTCAATGCTTCGGTTTGAAGGTAGGGACCCTCATTATGCTACCGTGTTAGTGTGGGGCTATTTTGAGCCTTGTTAGTGGTATTAACAAGCAATTTTTATTTGTCATTACTCCATGCCCAATATACTAGCGTTATACTAGCTTTATAGGCTAAACTGTTTTTAAAGATAAAACTATTTACATTCGATAATCATGAAAACAAATATCAGATAACGGTTGACTAGGTAACAATGTGTAATTAGACCAAAGGTTGATTTTGCGCCGGAGTTCTCCTTTAAGTCCAGTAGGGTGTCCCATTTTGTCATTATAGGTTTCAGAAGGGTGTTCGCGAGTGCCCCCTTTGCGGTCGATATGCGCCCTCGATGTGCACTTTTGCACTGAAGCGAGCTCCGCAGCAGACTTTTCCCGACAGAATACAATCGGAGTTATATTAAAAAATGTCCTGGCTTTATAATGGCAGTGAATGGCTGTTTCAATTTTGAACTCCATAAAAGTGCATCTTAATATAATTCTGATTGTATTCGTCTGAAATAAGAACGTCATATACACCTAGGATGACTTGAGGGTGAGTAAAACATGGGCTAATTTTCATTTTTGGGTGAACTATCCCTTTAAATCTCTTAATTGTAAAAATAAATAAATAAAAAAGCTCAGACGTGTGCATAAGTCACTGTGACACTGATATATGTGCTAGAAAACACTAAAAACATAATATGGCTAGATCTTAATCCGGAGGATCACTTATGTCATCGTTATACATCATCATCGACCAGTCCTAAAACGTGGTAAAGCACTAAGGCATTATAGACATAACAATATGCATTTCTTTAAAGCTGCTTTGAAACAATGTGTATAGTGAAATAAATTTGACTTGATTTGAAATATGACCAGGAAATAATATATAATATAGAATCGCCCACATGCTCTCAAGAACAAAAAGTGTTTGTTTTTAAAGCATTTAACTAACCTTCAAACAAACACTTGTATTCGGATAGGCTGTGTCCCTGGAGCCATTCTTCAATCTGACTTTCCTTGCCTTTCTTCCAGCGCACCTCCCAGAACAAAACCCACAAGACTGAACAGAAGAAGAAGGTCAGCAAAAAGAGGCGGTCCATCAGACCATGTTCAGCCTCCGCTCAGACCTCTGTGAGCTCAGAGTCTGCCTTGACTTCTGCTGTCCTATCTGGTCCTGACCAACTCTCCCATGTCTTCTCCTACTGGGAAAAAGGACAGGATACATACAATTCAGGCTTTGTGAACGATATTCAAATGAAATGTACAAACATGCGCAGAGCATTCAGAAAGTATTGGAACCATTTGATTTTTTTTCTTCATATTTTGTTATACTGCAAACTTCTGCTAAAATGCTTTAAATATTTTTTATTCACATCAATGTATAGGCCTAATCCATACGCCAAGAAGACAAAGCAAAAAACTGATTTCTTATAACTTTGCAAACGTATAATTTTTTTTTTTTTTTAAACAGAAATAAACAATAACACTCCTAACTCAGTACTAAGTGGAAGCACCTTTGGCAGCGATTAAAGCCTCAAGTCTTTTTGGGTATGATGTGACAAGCTCTGCACGCCTGGATTTAGGGATTTTCTGTGGAACACAAAAAAAGGATATTTTGAAGAACGTTGGGAACCAAACAACATTGGAGTCCATTGACTTCAATTGTATGGACAAAAAAAACCCAGACATTTCTCCCAACATCTTCTTACAGTTTTGGAACAACATGAGGGTGAGTAAACGATGACATTTTCATTTTTGGGTGAACTATTACTTTAAAGATATCTCTGTATTTTGCTATGTTCAGTTTTTCTTCTACCAGTACCCCATTCTGCCATAAAACTCAGATTGGTGAAGTGTTGCAGTGATGGTTGTCCTTCTGAAAGTTGCTCCCATCTCCACACATGACCAACTGGTTCTTGGTCACCTATCTTCCTAAGATTTGGCTGGGCAACCAGCTCTAGGAAGAGTCCTGGTTGTTTCAAACTTCTTTCATTTAAGAATTTAAAAGGCCACTGTGCACTGGGAACCTTCAATGTGGTAAACAAAAACAATGGCACAGATCCTTCAACAGATCTGTGCCTCGACACAATTCTGCCTCTGAGCTCTGCAGGCAGTTCATTTGACCTCATGGCATAGTTTTTGCTCTGGTATGCCTTTTCAGTTTTTCTTTTTAATAAATTTGCAAAGTTATCACATCACAGATCTGATTTTTGCTTTGTCAGTGGAGAGAAAAAATTAAGAGGTCTGAATACTTTCTGAAAGCAGTGAAGTGTTACAGGAGTTGGGAAACAGGACTGTGATCTAGAGACATTTGAAAAAAGCATGCTGCAACTCAACTAAAAGATTTGAAGGGATAATTATTATTTTGTGTTGTGTTTTAAAGATATTTTACCTTTCGAGATGAGCATGTGTTTAATCAGTAATTTAAGAATACATTAACAACTTAGCATCCATTATCATGCCCGGAGCGCCTGTCTTCATCTGGCAAGAAAGCAGATCTACACGTGCACTAGTTTCACCGAGTGACAGGCTTCTGTTAAAAAATGTCTGTAGCTCCACCGTTAAGTCATTTTGGTCTTTAAACATTAACATATCCTGTGTTAGGCTTTAATATTATACAGTACTACATTGGTGCATACTAGTGAAGCAAAATACAGAGAAAAAACGTCCTTGAAATTGTTAGTGTGTGTTGCCTAATGAAATAACAATCCAACCATGCATATCTTAAACTCTCACTCACAGTGGCATACAAACAGAAAATATGCGACGCAAAATAATAATCAAACAATGTCATTCATAGAGCCAACACTCAGTACTGACATACAAAGTAAACAACAAAGCCAGGCGTACTGTATGAGTTCATATACCAATTCATATTAAGCGAACAGCTGCAGTATTGTCTTCTAGATATTTACCTTGATGGATGTCACTGAGAACCGGAAACACCGCAGTATCTAGCGCAAGAAATGACGTAGGAAATGGCGCAGCGTAAGTAAAATGTGGATTGTGTCGCATGTTAATGACGTCGAAATACTCTTTGTCGCAAAGATTAACACACGAGGGCTAGAGAGTGAATATCTCGAGCATATTCAGCCGTCATGGTAAATTTAAGGGTTTATCTCAACAATGTTCAACAGCGTTTGTTAGATAATGTACATAATCGCTTTATGACTTTTTTGGTTGAATGACAACTTGTGTTTGTGTGAATTAGGGAAAACAGAAGAAACAGAAAAAATATGCTACCATGAAAAGAATGATCAGTTTGAAGGATCAGAGGATGTGAGTATATTTGTATTATTGTTCTTTTATCTATAAGCAAGTGTGTTACAAATAAGGGAATGTAATGTATTAGAAAATCATTGCAAAGTACTTTCATCATTACAAATGATAAACACAGCCGTTCAGAACAGCTCTGTTGGAAAGCGCCTCAGTTAACCAGTGTTCAGTCAATGTTCAGCTCAAACGGGTAAATCGAAATATTGTCTATGATTGGAATAATTGAAATATTGACAATGTTATTTCTATGTGTTTCTTCAAAATAATAAATTATTAGTGCATTGTTAATATCTTGTGATATACATCCTACCAAGTATTGTATTAAACTGTAATTTTAGGTCTGACCCGTGGTTAATTTTAGTCATCATATGAATAGTATTACCATGATTACTAGCAGCAGCTTCTTAAAGGCTGAGTTTTATTGTTGTCCCTCTTCCAGACTGATTGACACTTCCCCACAGCCAAAATGCAATATTTGACCAAACTATTATAGCCTTCCTATGTGTTTTATTATGCCACACAATATGCAACTCCATGTCTAGGTTACAATTGTTGATCATGTTGTAGGGTGGTGGGATAACAGGTACCGAAGGATTCCTCTATTCTGCCTTCTAAAACTGATCAGATGAATGTTTTCCTGTAGACAGGATGTGATGTGCTAGATTTGGGATATCTTCCTACCTTCTTATGCTACTTGTGGAGGCAGCATTTTTTTCAGCCATTGATTTAAAGGGTTAGTTCACCCAAAAATTCAAATTACCCCTTGATTTACTTACCCTCAAGCCATCCTAGGTGTATATGACATTCTTCTTTCAGATGCATACAATTGGAGTTGTATTAAAAAATGTCCTGGCTCTTCCAAGCTTTATAATGCCAGTGAATGGCCGGTTTCTGTTTTGAAGTCCATAAAGTGCATCTATTCATGATAAAAGTGATCCACACGGCTCTGGGGTGTTAATAAAGGCCTTCTGAAGCGATGCGTTCGTGGTACAGAAAAATATCCACATTTATAACTTTATCGACTAAAATAACTAGCTTCTGGCAGACTGCCTATGCAAGTCGATTTACGCCAAAAGAGTAACACTTGACGATGTATGGCTTAGGTTGGATGTAGGAGTACAGAGAATAGTGCAGGAGAATAGAGAAAGCTTTGACGCCTCTCGCGGTTCAAACAAATGGGGATGGCCAACAAACTCAAGCTCCTCCGACGTTTCTCTGTAAAAATTCTCGTTTAGACTTCCAATTCGTGACTGGTGTTTTGTTTTGCTCTATTCTCTGTGTTCGTCAATGTGTCAGCCGTCAGGTCAAGTGTTACTCTTTCGCCGTAAATCGATGCGTACATACGCCTGGATGCTAGTTATTTTAGTTGATAAAGTTTTAAATATGGATATTTTTCTTACACGATCGCATCTCTTCGCTTCAGAAGGCCTTTATTAACCCGCCAGAGCCGTGTGGAGCACTTTTATCATGGATGGATGCACTTTTATGGACTAAAACAGAAGCCGGCCATTCACTGCCATTATATAGCTCTGAAGAGCCAGGACACTTTTTTTAATATAACTCAGATTGTATTCATCTGAAAGAAGAATGTCATTTACACCTAGGATGACTTGAGGGTGAGTAAATCATGGGCTAATTTTCATTTGTGGGTGAACTATCCCTTTAAGTCAGCATAAAACGGAAATTGTGATCAGAATCTGTGTGAAACGACTTCTCAAATGATGAAAAAATGAGGGGCAGGACTTGATTTTGAAATCAGAATTTAATTTGATCATTGTCATTTGATCATTGTGGTGATCGTTTAATGTGAGTGACAGGTTGCTGGAGGGAAAAGGTTGCTTATCGATAAAGTAACTGGGCAGCACTGACAAAAGTGAATGTATATCTCTTGTTTGTCTGTCTGTGCATGTGAGAGACAGAGAGCAGTAGAAAAAGTGTGTGCTTATTTAATTGCATACCTTTTAGAATGTCTGTAAACCAATCATAATCAAGCATTCAACAGCACAATGGTGTAATCTTAAAAATTCTTAACTTATAAATACTGTAAAAACGGTAGATTATCGGCAACTGCATCACTAAATACATCAGTTCATCACTGTGTTGCTCTTTGAACATCTGATAAAAACTTTGCTTTGGTTTTTTTTTTATTATTTGTTTTTTTTTTGTCTAGAAAACAACAGGACAGAGCAAAAACACAAAAGAAGAAGAAAGAAGATCCGTCAGCCATTAAAGAACAGGAAGTGTAAGTTTGAATTCTCTCTAATATTGTGTTTGTTACCTTTTAGAGTTCGCCATACACCAAATGAAATTGAAATCTGCTTATTTGAATGGCATGACATAACAACATTGGCTCACAATATACACCATAATAATGTATCTATTAAAAATGTTCTTCAAATGTAGTTAGTGAAAAGTTAGGTTTAGGGACTTAGGGAAAGGTAATCAATGCAATTCCCAGAGGTATTTTAACCCAGAGGTAAGTTTAATAATACTGTCCAGTAAATGTAGCTATAAGTAGATGCAATCAAGTTATTTGTGATAAATGCACATTTTGCAAAACTTCAAATGAAAACACGTCTTCTTTTAGAACACATCTTTTACGGTGTCTGGTACTCATCTGGTACATCTGCTATAATGGCAGTTTAGTTTTCAAAACATGTTTAAGTTTAAAGAACACATGTTGTGTCATTAGATTACAAGTAACTAAAATAATAATAATATTTAATATTTAAAATTAGGACTTCTAGAATTTTTAAGAGCTGGATGTTCTTTAGGGATCAATTTTTTAATTTATTTTTTACTTTAGATTTTTTGCAGATGTTTTTTAAAGAAAATTCTGCATAATGAATGTTCCAGGATTGGTCCATCAGTTTTCAAAAGAGCATTTTGAGACACTTGCAAAGGGGAAATCTTTTAAGTGAACATATTATATTCGTTTCTAGAGCTCGCCATGGAACAGGAGAGTCAGGATTAACCCAGGTTTTAGTAGTCTTATTTGAAATGCTTGATAAAATTATTTAAAGTCAGGATCAGGAAATGACAAACCCCCATAAAGTTTCCCATATTTGCATTATGTCGAGTTCTGTTTATGCTTATTTCATATGAATTTAGAGATAGCGAATTGAGCTCTTTGGGGAAAAAAACATTCAGGGTGTGCTAGCAACATATAAAATAAATGATTATTGTAATTCCTATAGAGATTTATAGTAATATGTTGAGTGTTTGCATTAGTTATTGTATGTTAGGAGAAATAATCTTTGCCTCAACCCTTTTTTTCAGCGCAAAGTATCCATCTTGTCTGTTCTTTCAATACAACACCCAGCTTGGACCTCCATATTACATCCTTGTTGATACCAACTTTATCAACTTTTCTATTAAGGCCAAATTAGATGTTGTCCAGTCAATGATGGACTGTCTTTATGCTAAATGTAAGTCCCCAAATTCTTTTCTCAGATTAATTTACAACAATGCTAATGTGAAGTGAGTGAATGTATTTTGGATGTGTTAATGATTGTAGGGATTGCTATGCAGCAACATTGAACAGAAATGACAGTGTTCAACACCGTTTACAGCATAGACTCTGTACACATGCCCCACATAACAAGGAATACAGTTTACAACATTATATATACACACATAAACAGATAAAGAAAGTTCTACGCACACATTGGCAATAGAATTTAACAACCTTTTTCAAAGGTACATTCATCTGTAACATAATTTGAATGAATAACTAAACTTGAATGAATAACATAAATAGTTCTGAAGTGGGTCTTGGTTTAATTTTAACTACAGATGGCGATAGTGAGGGGAAAAATATAACATGATGGAAAAATTACAACCCAGTCAGTCAAAGTGATGGATCATGATCCTTTGAATGGGTAACAGTTGCAAGAAAATGTTTGTGAACCCTTTGGAATCACAGTTTCTGCATTGATTACTGATTAAATATGATGTCAGTCATAATTACAGACCAACACAATCGGACTAAACTAATAACACATACATTTGTACTTTTCAAGCTAATATGTTTTTATGCATTTTATGTTTTTTTTTTTTTTCATGATCACTTGAGTAATGTGTAGAAACTTATTTTGTTGTCACAGGTGTTCCTTGCATAACAGACTGTGTGATGGCTGAGCTTGAGAAATTAGGAATGAAGTTTCGAGTGGCTTTGCGGTAATGCACACTTAAATGACATGCATGTAACAATAGTGTCTCGAACATTGGGGACCAAACCAATTGAAAGTAATACATTTTTGATTACAAAAATTAACTATTTGAAAATAAGTTTCATCTTAAAATATGCACACATTCACTCTTAATCATTTGCCTAATATGTCAAATTTAAACAGCTCAACCCTTAAAGGGGAAATGAAGCAGTCAATCAAGTTTACATGATTTACAAGATGGATTTCCACTATAATCAACAATTATATAAGAAACATGACAAATGTAAACATATAAAATAAAAAATAAAAAACGTTAGATCTTTCGCCGCCAGGGCACCACCATTGTGCAGTATTCTAACCTGTGACGTCACGGGGTTGGTTGCCTTTAGTTTAAAGGCTCTGGGCAGTGAATATCCCGACATCAAACTGTCTACACCACTGTGTTTTGACCGCAAAAAAACTTAGTTAAGTTTATTAGTACCAGACAAAAACACGACGTCTAACTTTATATGTTAACAAACTGCACATGGAAACATTGTTCGCGATGTCTGCCATCATATTCCTGTCTCTTGTCAACACCATGTAAGTTACATCGCTATGTCGAACAGCCGGTGGTGGTTTGGGGCAAAGAGCGGGTTGGCAACGCTACCTGGTGTCAGTGTGGCTGTTTTACTGCGATGCCCACCGTGTCAGAGTCCATCTGCTGTCAAGAGGCTGATCTTGACCATATATTGCGTGGTCAATCCTGCATCACCATGGAGCGCACATTTACCATGCTGTGCCGGGAGGTAGACGTGTTGGAAGTGGCAATGCTTTCCCTGAAGGATGTCAGAGCGGAGACACTTTTTCTAATATATGTAGCTACTAGCAGTGCAAAAACATGGGCGTTTCATTTCCCCTTTAACAAATACATGCTAACTTACATGGTGTTGACAAGAGACAGGAATATGATGGCAGACATCGTGAACAATGTTTCCATGTGCAGTTTGGAATAGCCTACCGAATAGCCTATGGAATAAAACACTATGGAATAGCCTACCGGCTTACATTAGATCTGCTCCAACTTTGTCAATTTTTAAATCTACTTTGAAAACGCATTTTTTCTCAATAGCTTTTAATATATCTTGATATGTGTGTTTTATGTGTATATTTTTATTTGTTTTGTTTGTCTTTTCGGCCTTGTTAAGCACTTTGGTCAACGGCAGTTGTTTTAAATGTGCTATACAAATAAAAATTGTATTGTATTGTTTGTTAACATATAACGTTAGACGTCGTCTTTTTGCCTGGTACTAATAAACTTCGCTAAGTTAGCTAAACACTAAGTTAGCATTAGCTAGTTCATGCTTACAGCTGTTAGCTAAAAATGACTGTACCTAACGTTAGTTTTTCGCGGTCAAAACACCGTGGTGTAGACAGTTTGATGTCAGGATATTCACTGCCCAGAGCCTTTAAAGTTTAAACTAAAGCCAACCAATCTGTATGCTTTAAAAAGTCTCGTAAAAAGAACGTTTTTTTTCACGTTTGGACATTCAGAGGCCCCGTAGTGAATTTGATTGCGTCATCAAGTTTTGATCAGCATTGATTCATCAAAGAAACCCATGTGGTTTGTTCCTCTGAGCCAAACAGGAACGATTGTTGATGCTTATTCCAACCCGCATGCCCAGATTGATTGAAACTATCACCTACTCAACCAATAAACATAGGTTTTGTTTTTTTGCACCACCAATTATCATCTTTCTTTGGAAACTTGAACTGACGCAAAGTGAAAGTAGGTGCGTGCATGCATATTTGTGTGCATGAAAACAAACACAAAATAACAGATTTGCATGACAGCACTTTTTGACAAAGCATAACACAATTAAAAAAAGAATGTAAAACAGCAGAACACAACGGATGAGGCACTAAAGTGTGTGTTTTCAAACGAATTGCATTCGACTGAGATAACTGGCACAGCCAAGAAGTCTGTTTCGTATATGTAAATACTACTAATAGTTTGTGAAAATCATTTACACTATTTGTATTTTTGTTGCACAAGACACTTTTCACAATTGTTTACACTACTTGCTGCACTATTTGTGTTTGTTTATTTTCAGATTGAATATATACGCACGCACATATACAGTATATGTGTATATGTATGCGTCACTTTTGCTTTAGTGTTCTATTATTATATAACAATGTTTCTATTTACTTTACTTCCTGAACTTTTTTGGACACATCTACATTGTCAGTGAATAAAAAACACCAGCTTTTCACTGAAAATTGCCTATAATATAATACAGGCGATGAGTAAATATAATATAATATTATAATTTTGTAATAAATTGCTATAACTTGCTTAGGGATTGTTACATGTAGACAAAATTTCATCTGGAAATCTAGGATATATAACTTGCTAAAGTTATAAATAAGTATAACTATATGTATAATATAAAACAAACTTTCTAAAGAAAAAAATCCAAACTAGCCAGAAAATATGATATATAAACTTTCTTTTAGTTTATTATGTAATACACAGACAGGTAGCCTATATTGGCTCTAGCACTACCCAAATCAAACCAGAGTTTCCAGGGGGGGTTTTATCCATAGTTTGTGGTCTTTATGGAAGTATGACTTAAACAACATGATCGGAGCTGTTTTCTATGTAATAAGTAGCTAGTAATTATTTTTTAGAGTACCTTACCCAGCACTGGAATACAGAATTTGAATAATCAAATAAACACTGCATAGTCTTTAGTGTATTAATTAAAAATAAATGTAATATTATTAAAGCTACAAAAGTTATTCAGTCAAAAGCAGTGAGTGATTCCATCTTTTCTTTTGATGTTTGATTAACAAACAGCAACAGATTTATTATATTAAGACCTAATTTCTCATTCATGCATGTTATTTTCGTAAAAAACAAAATGTGCCCAAATATCTGCTTTCAAGAAGTTGGATACAATATTTACGAACATCAGATGCACGCGCTTTGCTTCCGACGCACATACGCAACTTTTTTATTAATAATAACTTTACTTTACTTACAACGACAAAAAAAAGTATCGATGCAGAATTGTAAAAATAATTTAAAGTAAAAAGCTCTAAACAACATCCAATTTTTGATATTTGATTCTGAGATTTGTTCTGTTCTAGTACTCTCTGATTGTTGGAACTAGCTTTGTTTTCCCTTAGGTTTTGACTTTATTTAGTCAAAGGTATTTAAAGGCATTTTTCTGTTCAGAAGTCATGTGTGAACAGGGCCTGTTTTTCTTTTTTCTTTTATGTTTGCAGATTGGCTCCAGCAATTTGGTGGGATAAGATAGAAGTAACAATGCCTGAAAAGTTGGTCATAAGATTAACCGCATTGTGGACAGCAGTGTCATTTGCTGAAAATTACAATTTGATATCATCACAGTTTCAACAGCATTTCTGTGCTAATGTGTGAATGGTAGCAAAATAGTTAAAAGATGGCAAGCTGTTGCATGTGTGAATAGTAGATATGGTGCATTTACCAGAAAATGTCATATTGGCAATTTTACTGCAGTTTTCATTTGTGAAAATGGCTACTCTTTCTTCCTTGCTTTTTATGGTTTTTTGAACTTTTTGTGCAGGATTGCCAAAGATCCCCGCTTTGAACGCTTGCCTTGCTCACACAAAGGAACGTATGCTGATGACTGCTTGGTACAAAGAGTAACACAGGTATGAGAACTTTGTTAGCGGTGGGGTTAGAATTGTTTCGTATTACCCTAATAAATGAAAAAAGATTTACAAATAGAACAGGGAGACAAATGCATGTTTTTTTTTAGTACTGCAACTTTGCAAATGAGCCAATCAAATGTTTTTAAAGGGCACATATCATGAAAATCTGACTTTTTCCGTGTTTAACCCTCTGGGGTTTAAGGTGTTTTGGGGGTCCTTGAGATGTTTTGATGTTTTGGGTGTGAATGATTGTGAGGATCATGAATAATGCTCTGATTCACACCTGAGAAGACAATGACCTGCATAATGAGCCGCATAATGAGCTGCGTAATGAGCCTTTTACACGGGTGTGTCACTGGGTACCAAAGAATGCGAAGACAAAAGAAATGTGTATGTATATATATATATATATTTAGTCCTCGTATTCTTTCTTGTGGTACCCAGTGGAAAAATACAAATTTTTTCAAGATGTTTCAAAATCTGACTTTTAACCAATTCTGTAGAATGAATGTATATATATATATATATATATATATATATATATATATATATATATATATATATATATATATATATATCCTATAGAATTGGTTCAAAGTTAGAGTTGGAAACGTCTTGAAAAAATGTGTCTTTTTCCACAAATTTTGTATGCATGCAAATTGTATAATATCCAAGGTAAACATTTCTAGTAATTGTGTAGTTAATTCTCATACTGTATTTTCAGAAAGTCTTGGAATATGTATCATCTCCCCAAAATTGTCACTATAAAACACACAAAAAAAAGTATATAAATGTATATAATTAGTATATAAATGTTAATTTGCAGTTTGTTGCTGACATTTTATTTCAGTCTATTTTTACTCATCTCAGTAGGCTATATCAATATAGTTTGGTCAAAGCTAAACTAGCAGATGTGTTCATGTAAAAATAAAATTTTTACTAATGTAGGTGCGAGTGTGAATGAACGGCACAGAGGCGCGCTGTACAGCTGTAGTAAACAACAGCACATGTCTGTGCCGTTCATTCATTCACACACAGACATGCGATTCATATTTAAACAGTCTTTTGCGGTTTACAGACACTATTCCATATCGCGATTAGAACAAAGCACTTAAAGCTATGGTATACGATTTTGAAAATCGGTCGAGAAAGCCTGAATTTTTAACAAACTCATCCCGCTCCTCCACACACATACCCTTCCCCTCTGTGCTACCTGATCCCTCCCACCGGGAAACGAACTGAACTACGTCACTCAGTCGAGTTGTGATCACCGGTAGTAAACATCGGAACTGAGATGTAATGTCAGTTCATCTAATGACCTCGCTAATGACACATCATATGTTACCTTTAGACACTTGAACTTAGTTGCTTCATCAACAATTCAATGTCACGTTTGAGTTCATGTCAACGCAAGATTAGCAACACATGAAATGTTCTAAACTCCCCACCACCATTAGTATAATCCTACTAGTATTGCTAAGGTTTTCAGTAATTGTTATTGCAGCACACAGCGCATCTTGTTCAAATTTCGATCGGCTCGAACAGAAACCCGCTAGGCCTACTAAAATATATTCAAGGACTTCAAGAAATATAATTACTTTGACCCGTGATAGGCGATGCTAAACGGCTAACATTCCAATGCCGACCGACAGCATGAGCAAGTTGTCAAACTGATAAAAAGCTATTTATGTAACACGTCACACCATAAAAGTATAAATAAATGTTTACCTGCTCAACAAAAAGTCAGCCGTGTCAGCGTCGGTCTTCAGTCCCAGATCTTCCTGAAGCTTCCTCCAACGGTCAATGGTGGAGGGTCCATATATTTATCCTACTCAAAGTTCGGCGTTCTTCACATTTCAATCTCTGCTCGTTCTAATGACTTTCTCTTTCGTCCTAACTTTACTGTAGGGACAAGCAGGGGACGCTTGCTGCTGTCTTTTTTTTTTATCCATTGCTGATATGCTACTTAGCTAGCTACCATAGACTGGCACAACACTTTGTTTTTATTGTGAGTATCCACAAAAATAGACACTTAACAGGATCTAATGATGTACAACACTTCAAAATCGACAGAGTATTTTGAGTCTCTTTTGCACTGATAAGAAAAAAAGTGAGCCCGGCGCGATAGCCGACCCCAGAGGGTTAAGTGCTGTAATCGTGTCCCCAAGTGCATCTACCAACCCAGAAAACGTAATAAAAATCACAACCCAGTAACTTTGTTTTGGTAAGCCATTCTCTGCAAGCATGTCAAAAAAATAAGCCGATCAGTTTTCGCTCCCCTTCTGATGTAGGAAGGGGATCTTATTATAATATTACCGCCCCTTAATCTGCACGTTTCCACCCACGGCGCCGTATTTATAAGATTACGTTCCAATGTAAAAATCGTATGCATATTTTAATTGCATTATGAGGGTTAATAGATACCTTATGTATGTTTGAAGTTTAAAAAAAAACAATTAAATAAGATTAGTGATTTTAAAGGTACAATATCCAAAAACCACTAGGCCAATGTTATATATTTTGTTTAGTTGATTACTTACAATTTACAAATAGTTGGAAACATTGGGGATATTGTGAGAAAATTGCGATTTTAACCAAGAAAACGGGACGTGTCAGCAGGGTTGAGTCGCCGCCAATCAATGGCGTCATATCCGCGTTACCCTCGGTTTCCGCTCGTACTGCCATAGTAACCATGGCGACAGACGTGGACAACTGGGTTATGCAGGAGAATGTCTAATAAGACTAACTTCGACTTGACAGAGACGCGAGTGTTCCATGTACTTTATTAGACAGGTGAGCAAATGTACATAAACCTAATCAATGTTATTTAGTTCAATATGATGAAATGTTAGAATATGATCTGTATGTTATTCTAATGTTGATTAGCTTACTGCTAGTTTTATACAGCCAACAAACAACCTAACTAACAACATTCAACACACTCAAATGCCGTTTAGTGTGATAGTGTAACTGTTAGAGCAAGTGAAACAGCGCTGCGTTACCTCAAGTTTAATACGTCTAATAAACTGACCTGTGAATAACTTATTAATTCAGCACTTGCGTGTAGTTCGGTAGAATGAATTGTCCTTATTCCTTTATATCCGCGGGACTCGCGTTGCGTGTGGCGCTGGTATACGTCTCTCGTTAGCAATCTCGCCCTGCTTCACCACAGTCATGTTAAAAACATCACTGTTTTCACTCATCCATAAAAGATCCATCAGCTTGACGACAAGATCCATAATTCCGCTTGATGCTTTGCATCATCGATATACGCCTTTGTTATTGTAAGAGATTAGCGACCCCTGCTGGCCAAAAACTACATACTGTACGTTTAATATCAAATAAATCATTTGGGACTAGGGTTGGGTACCGAAATTCGGTGCCAATAGGGAACCGGTTCCGACGTAAACGGTAGTAACCAGACCGAATAAGAACGAAAATTTCGGTGCCTGATTTCGGTGCCTAACTTCATTAGGCACACACACACACGCAAGGTCTCTCGCTCTCTCCCTCTCCGCCGTGCGTGTGCTACACAGTTTGGAGCACAGTTTCTTCTGTCTCGCATGCGCGCTCTTTCTCGCAAGGTTTGGCTGCATTTCACGTGTAAAACTACATGTCAGAACGCCCTCTGGGTGTGCCGATAGTCTGAATCCCATATAGAATCAAGCCAATACATTGGCTAATGGCGCGGGCGCCGCCTCGACGCACTGACGTCGTCATATTATGTTGGCGCGCGCGCGCCATCTGCTCCTCACTCCTCAGATTTCTCTGCCGAAAAAGAAAGCTGGTTGGCAGCGCGAGCAGCTTGGCAGCGTCCGGGCAGCGTCCCGTTCCCTATTGAGAGATATGTTACACCAGTAACCAGAGATGTTCTCTTTCATAGGTTCACTGCGCTGCGTAGCTAAGAAGCAGTGGATTTGTAGGCTGCTGTATCACGTGCCGTTTGAACTGACGCGCTACAGCGATCTGTCACATTTCAAAGAGCCAAAACGTTATTTATTGTGTGAATCTCGTAAAAATATTGACAGAATCTGACAGCTGTGGATTAGTTCCATATCAAAAGTAACCTTCTCTGTCTTGTCTGTCGGTGTCAGTGTCCTCTTTGTCCGCGATTTTTCTGTGTGAAAAGGGTCATTTGCGTGAGTCTCACGGTCAATGCGTGAGAGTTGGCAGCTCTGCAGTAATCTCTATTAATCTCTAGTATTATTACATTTTTTGATACAATATTGTTTCATTTGATATTATGTAAATATGAATTTTTATTTTATATTGGTTTTAGTATTACCATATGTTACTTGTATTTATATTGTTTAAAGATTTAAGTTAATATTGTGTCCAGTTTGGCCCTGTAAATTAAAGGGTATTATTTTTTTATAAAGTGTGGACGGGTTCATTTTCTTAAGTACCGATTTAAGAACCGTTTAAGCACCGGAACCGTTTAAAAAATACCGAGTAGGTACTGGAATCGGATAAAACCCAACCGATACCCAACCCTATTTGGGACTATGAAATAATTCTAACCTCAGAGCCGATACATATTTTATATTTTGCTTTACATTCTGATCAAAGGATTCCCTTTTGCTCCACTAGCACAAGTGTTACATTGTGGCCACGGTGGACAGGGACCTAAAAAGGAGGGTTCGGAAGATCCCGGGAGTCCCAATCATGTACATCTCCAATCACAGGTACACCAGCTCTCGCTCTGCTTGGTTTAATTAAGAACTGGTTTAATTACCAATGTATGAATTGACCCTTAGCCAAGCCTAGCATTTATGTTACTAATGAGGGGTCCTGGAGGGTAGGGGGTGAGGTTGGTAGGGGGTTCACTTACTTGTTGGTGAGTGCAAGAGAGAGAGAGAGCCAAGGTTATGTGCAAGCTCCAGAAATTGAATAAAGCCTTTATCAAGTGGGAAATGGTGTAGCTACTATTTGGTTGGCTTATATTTTTACTAAACAAGAAGGTAAACAAGAGTAACCAAAATTTGAGGTGCCAGTTATTTTGTCTGCTTTGCTTCATAAACAAAATATATTCAAAACAAAGCCAAAGCGGGATTAGCACTACTGTAATAGTAGTCCTTGACTATTACAGTACCTATCATGTTGCTGTTTCGAACATGACACTTGTTGCAAGTTTGAAAAGTGTATATTCATAAACATGTCAAACAATAATACCAACAAAGCAAACAATCCCAAATATAAAACATAGTATATTGCTGGCGAATGTTATAATGGCAGGTACGAGAGATGTTATATACCAGTTTCTGAGAATGAGATCATTGTGTAAGATGTCGTATAGACGCAGAAAATATTCATCAAATTAGTTACTTTTTTATTGATTGCATGTCATTCACACACATTGTTCATAATATATTGATTATCCCCAATTCTTTTTATTATTTTTTACATTTTTCTTTCTAAAAAGCATACCACTAGGTTTTTAAGGGTGGGTGGTTGTGGTGTTAAAGTATTATTTGTGCTAATACCTGCTGATACCCTGTTCTATGAAGTTTTTTGTCAGATTGGACTGCTATGTTCGTGTGTGTTTGTAAATGCATATAAATTGTGTATATGCATTAATTTGTAACCGTAGAATTTATTTGAACCTATGTAAATTAATGCAACTGTTATCACATTTATTTTACAGGTATAACATTGAGAGAATGCCCGATGATTATGGCGCACCACGGTTGTAGTACTCAGAAGTGTTTTTTTTTTTATCTTGTTTTTTTTGGGGGTTGCTACCCCGCCTTCCACCTTTAAAAGATTTTCCCTGTTAAATGTATTCAGTACTCCACCATAGTCTTTGGCAGCCCAGATGCCTAGTGCACAGAACATTGGTGGAAACTAAAATGTGTGGGAAAAGTAGCAAGAAAGTGATCTGCAACAAATAAAAGTGATTAACCCACAACTTCAGTGATCTAAGACCTCCCCTTCTTGTTAATTTGCACTAAATCCAAACTTCTCAACTTTTTACGTAACAGTTCATTTGGATGGTCCCTTTTGAGCATTCTGTTTACTATAAGTAACTTTGCAACTACATGTCAACTAGCTCTCAGAGTATTAGCTGACTGCCTGCTTAATATCTGTTTACTCTTAATTGTAAAGTTCCCCCAACATAGTCAGTAGAATGTCCTAGTAACTTTGCAAATATATGTCAGCTTATTCTAACTCTAAAGAGTGTTAGTAGAGTATTAGTAGACTGGTAGAGTTAGTAGACATGTAGGTGCAATGTTATTTATAGTCAACAGAATGTGTTAAAGAGACCATCAAAATAAAGTGAAACCCTTTGTACATATGGAGAACAAGTTGTTATGAGCAAACATGCTTAGTTTAATGAATTATGCTTGACTATCAGCCATTTCAACTGAAAGATGAAGGCTGTGATATTGATGTTGTCCACTAGAGGGCGACACAGAATAAGGAATCTTTTAAGCCTAATCTTTTTTTTCTGTCCATTTTCATCCCTTTGAATGTAAATAAATACATTGAGCTAGTTCATTTGTGTAACTGGTTTACTGACATTGTTGTTTAATAAAATTAGTGTGCATGGAAATCTGTGAAATGCTTATAGGTTATTAAATGTTTATTTAACTGTTAAAGAAACCAATAAAACACATTTTTAAGTTGCTAGACATGATTAAAAATACTGCTGTCCATTTAAAAATTTTTTTTTTTTTTTTAAATAACAATTTTTCTTTTTTTTTTCTTTCACAATAATATGTATTATAAAATGTCTTTAAAGACATTTTTTGTGGGGTAAATGCAAGCATAAGGTTAGATGCATGTACAGTGGAAATAAATTATAACAATAAAAAAGACAAATGTTTCAGATAAAGTTTTGAGCTGCAGATCTTCACATTCATTTGAAATTGTTTTGACCATGCATTTCATATAAATTTAAATGATGAATGAGTCCACACACACCAAATATATTTTGATCAAGCTCTAACTTTCAGAGAAGATTCAAGATGGACTTTGTTATAAAAAGCACACCTTAAGATATGTTTCAATTGGATCGCTAATTATTTACATGGACTATTGGTGCTTGGACCCTGATGATTGCAGCTTGCGGCTGTATAGTAATTTGGTTTTCTCGCAACAATAACGTTTCAATCAAATAAATGAAATTGGCCTATAGTAGTCCTTGACTATTACAGTACCTATCATGTTGCTGTTTCGAACATGACACAGCGATTGAGGAAAACTGTCTTAACGTTCTCTAAACCAGGAGTGTCCAAATTCGGTCCTGCAGAGTTTGGCTCCATCTTGCCTCAACACTCCTGCCTGAAAGTTTCTACTGTAGAATTCCTAGTAAGACCTTGATTAGCTGGTTCAGGTGTGTTTAATGGGATTGAAGCAGGAGCAGGATTTGACACCCCTGCTCTAAACTGTAAGTGCAATTGTCACAACTGTTTGCTGGAACATCAGAACTTTATTCCATGTCAGCAAAATGTAGTTGCACACCCAAAACATTAATTCATGCTTCAAGACCTAGTTATTGTGTCAGTAATTTGTCCATGCAATGTCACCAAAATAAAGTGTTTTTGTCATCGTGTGAGCCACACTGGTCAAAATGTTTTTTTTTCACCATGAAAATATTTGTTATATAAAAATGTAATTTTTCCCCTACGTTTTTTGTTAACACTGACTGCTTTCTATACTATACAAGAATGTCTAGCTGAATATTCTTGTGTATCACTGAGCTTTTTAGATATATTTTAACAGTTGGTAAAAATTTACTAGAAAAAGTCAATACTATAGTACACAAAAAGAAAATTTTCATTTATACAGTGCATTTTTTTTACAGATATGTTTTTCATATAAACTGAAAATTCACAGCAAGTGACTATTTTAGTTTGCATTATGTAACATTTGTACAAAAATAAATGGGTAATACTTTACAAATATATACACTTTATAATATATTAACTAATATGAACTAACCATGAGCAATACATTTGTTACTGTATTTGTTGATCTTTGTTAATAATAAAAATGTTAGTTAATAAAAACACAGCTGTTCATTGTTTGTTCATGTTACTTCACAGTGTATCAATGTTAACAAGATTTTAATAAAGTATTTGTAAATGTTGAAATTAGAAGATTAATAAATGCTGTATAAGTGCAGTTCATTATTAGTTCATGCTAACTAATGTAGTAACTAATGACCTTATTGTAAAGTGTTACCAATAAATATACTGAATAAATACAAATGTATTTATGTAGCTACTGCTGTTCGTTCCTCCATGTTCAAAAATGGTAGTGATTGTGCTTGGCAAACTGCATATCATATATATGCTTCCAAACTTGATTGGTTGATTAATAAAATTGTTATTTCATTACAATGGCAGGCCATTTGTCAATTTAGCAGACATTACAAACATGGCATGTCAGATATTTATGGAATATACATGCATGTCTTAACATTTTCAATAACTGAATGGATAATTTTGCATGTGATGGCTCACATGATGAAAGAATGTTTAGAAGTTGTGAAGAGTTTGACAGTTTCACTGAGAATCAACTCATCAGTTTTAATCAAGGCATGTGCATTTAGATATTGTGCAAATTGTAGACAATTGCAATTACTCTTTTGCACACATGTGCCTAAATAAATCAGAAGTCCAAATCTAATGTGAATGTATTAATGCAGTGTTAACAAAAATAATCCTTATTTACTTACCACATTTTTTTCCCCATCATCTTAACAATGACATCTCAGTCAGTTGTTTACACATCATGCCTGCTTGGAGTCTGCAATGCAGTTTAATAAAATCACCATTGATAAACAGGTTATCGGTCATTCTCAGCATAGTTATTATTAGCTTCATGTGGCTTAAACCATATTAACCATATCTGCCGTGCTACACCGCATGAGGCTATACTGGGACATACAGCTAGCTAAAAAAAAAAGTCTTAAATTCATAAAATGTTGCATGAGGGATTGTTTTCTTGTGCTTCATTTTAAAATGAAGAGAAGACCTCATTTCTGCTCCACAGGGCTGATTAGATTATGGCTGTGTGTGCAGATTCATTTCAGTAACCTGTAGAATTTGGCAAACTTGCGCAGATGCCCCTTTTCTGAATCTTGCGGTTTAGAGATGTAGTGCAATTGAGGAAATGTTTGTTCCAGCCTAAAAGTCTTAAAAAGATAAATGAGTTTGTTGAATCTGTCTATATATGTTATAAATTATGATAAATTGTTTGTTAGAATTTCATTTCATTTATAACGTTTTACCACCAGGTTGGTTCTAAATCATGCATGCGTTATTATTGTTATATAACTGGCTAATCTAGGACATGAGAAAAAAATTGTTGAGCTTTAGTTTTTATCACCAAATTAATAAATTCTTGTTTTTAAATGACATGTATTTGATTGCAGAAACACTATTCAGGTGAAACGGCAGTGTCATATAGAGTATCTGATGGGTTAGTGGTTGGGAGCAGATGTATTCAAGGCTTCTTCAGCTATTTTTGTAAAATGTTGAGAAAATTGTATAAAATCTGTTGAGAATTGTTTTTCATCTACATTTATGTTTAGAAAAAAATGTTAATGTATTGTGTTCCCTTCCAGATATTTCTTTGGTCTTAAAAACAAAAAAAGTATTTGTACACTATACCTTTCATAATTCGAGAATGTAAAAGCAGAAGTAATGGCGAAGTAATGCAGAAAGGTCTCAAATAAACGGCAGAGTTGAAAATATCATAAAATAGAAAAGAAAACATGAGAATTTTTTTGGAATATGTTTGCATGTTGCCATTGTTATTTTCTTACAGTCTTAGTTTGTTAATGTCAAATACTCCTCTCCATCTGGCATTGAAAATATTGAATTACCTTTGCATCAGGCATGAAACAGCACAGTCCAGACCAAGGTCTTGTGGATTTGCTGCAGATGGAAAGATTGAGAGATAGTCAAGGCAAGCAAACATTCATCCTTGACAATTGATACTGTGTGTTTATAGAAGAGTTGAGGTACAACGTTAATTACAGACGACTTCATGTGACTTTAAATCATGTAACAATCTGGAGGTTTGAATTGAAAACAGAACAAATGTGTTATATGTACAAGCTTAGTGTGCGTTATCACAATCAACAATGTAATGCAGAGATCTCAAGCTAAAATATAGTTAATTGAAACTACAGTACATATTCAGTTCTTCATTTAACTAATGGATTACAAGGTCAGCAAGGGAACAATCACATGCAATGCACACACAAGCTCTCACACACACACAAAATGGGGCAGGCGTAAGCAAGGTATAAAAGGTAGTTATACCTGTGTCTGAGAAGACAGATTGATCACATCTCACTGGAAGTCAAGAACAAAGGTAAAAAAAAAAAATTCAAATGAAATATTTTTGATCTTAAAGAATTCACTTAAAATGTACAAATATAACATTCGGGAGGAAACAATTATCAGGGTGTTTGAACATATTTGATGCATTTTAAAAATGTGAGGTGTTTGTAAAGTGTGTTCCTTTTTCATCTGTTTTACTTTTTCTGTTATAGCCATCATGTTTTGGACAAGATATGCTGGAGAAAGTATATTATTGTTTTTAATGCTTATTCATCTTGGACAACTGTATCCAAGAAATGATATGACTAACTGTAAGTTGATAATCAATGACTAAATTATAATACTTAATATGGAACTGCTACGTTTTCCTTCACATTTGTGTGTTTGTGTTTATTTACAAGTTGGGTGTGAGGAGTGCAAGCTCAAGGAGAACAACATTTTCTCGAAACCTGGGGCTCCTGTCTATCAGTGTATGGGATGCTGCTTTTCTAGGGCTTACCCCACACCCCTGAGGTCCAAGAAAACCATGCTTGTTCCCAAAAATATCACATCAGAAGCTACATGCTGTGTAGCCAAAGAAGTTAAACGGGTAAAATCTGAATGAATAACTGCTATTATATTACATTATTTCTTTCGTTATTATATAATAACATTTGTTTATGTGTTTGTTTTTAGGTACTTGTCAATGATGTCAAACTAGTGAACCACACGGACTGCCACTGTAGCACCTGTTACTATCACAAGTCTTAAAAACACTATCTTACTAATTTACTTGTTTGCTTACATTTAGTTATATTCCTGTCTACCTGTCATTTTACTGCAGTGCTTATTTTCTGTTTTTAATTCACAATGACTTATATAAGCTATTTAAAGTGAAACTATACTGTTAGAAGTTTGCTATACCCATGCATACTGTGCCAATTTTCTTATGTAAACTAGTTTGCTAGTGTTTTCAACCATTCTTTTTTAAAAGGTTGCCCTACTTCCATAAATACCTTAAAAGCATAACATGCTATTCGAATTAAATAGAATTTTTAAAATTCAAGATATGCTTGATATTAATTTAAGCCCTATTTTATTGGTAATTGCTGACTTGTTTTGTCGTCACTGCTGTAAGATTGTTCAAATACATTAATTAAAAAGAAGATTGCTTGACATTGCTGCTTCGTTTCTTTTCTCCATCAATTTTCTATGCCTGTTTACTGGTGACTGATAACTGATATGCTATTATGTCGATGTATTACTTTGTTGCTATTACATTACTTTGTTTAAAAAACATGCCCGATAAGACGGACACACGGGGCAAAAATAAAATCTCTCTAGGTTTTTCTTTTAAATTGTTTTATGAAATCGCAAGCTGAGTTTTCAAGGAAAGTAAGAAAGATTTATTTTTGTGTCAATGGCGTTAATTTTTTTGTGAATTAAGACATGGCCGGAATGGTAGGCTACTCGAAGAGAAATTTCGAATACTACTATGACGAAAGATTGGGTCATGATTGAATTATGTTTCTTTGACGTACTTCAAAACAGTTGCTATGGCGACTGCTTCCCAGTCATATTAAATATGTATTTTAGGAATCGCTCTGTTACCTTGCTGTAATGCAGATTTTTATTTATTTATTTATTTATTTTTGCTTGAATATTAATTGGGCTGTGCTGACGTTGCTCGGTATCCCTCTAATAGTGAATGCACGGGTCATGAATATTTGGATCAGGCCTTGGCCGTAGTAGTTTGAGATATTTGGGCTGGTGTGAATGCAGCGAAGATGGCGGAGGAGGAGGGCAGCGCGACTGAGGCTGTGGCCCTCAGACAGAAATTTCAGGATCTTATCTCTGAATTAAAAAGGAGCTCCGAGTCGACGCTAGATGCCTCCAATAGTTTTTGTCGGGATTTTTGTCAAGTACGACTTTATTCATGCGTTTTAATCTACCAGTCTTTGTTCGTGGACGATGCTGCATGTTTGCATCGCTGCACCAACGATAACAAAACTAACAATACTAATACAGTCATTCATAAATATGATGGGAAAAACACAAAAAGCTGTATGCTGAAGAGATGAAGCATGATTGTGTTTTACAGTCATTAAATCTTACAGACTTACTGTTTGTTTGTATGTATGGTGACTGCTTCTGATGGCTAACACATTAGCTTATTGTAGCAGCAGCCTTTACTTTCACTCAGAACAGTTATTTAAGGTACATAAATAATCATATAATCCTAATTATAAATAAATATATATATATAAAATCAGCTGATGTAACATCGAGAAGATTTTGTAATAATCATGTATTTTTTTTTAAAGAAAACAGCTGTGTTCTCAATTATCAGTCTGTCAAATTCTTTGATTATCAGATTAAATGAATCATTCCTGTCAATATTGTATTTGATCGCAACGTGGCCTCCACATATGTAATGTAATAATATATAAATCACTACTTTTCATCAGATGTACCATATTTAATTATTTTTGACTACTACTGTTAGATGCTTTTGTTATTGGCTTTGGGCCATCACTGAGAATACAGTTTGGACTCTGAACTGAGACTGGACCGTTCATTTATGGCTCTTTTTCTTTCTTTCAGGTTTTGATGCAGCATGGATGTCAGTGGAGACCAGATGAAGATCCGCTTCCTCTGTTGGAGATGTACACTGTAGCTATAATGTGCTGCGCTGAGGCTAGCCCGTTCCTCAGCCCTGAATGTGAACACCTATCAGATGTGCTGGACAAGTTATCATGGTGAGTATAGACCAGAATGGGTTTGCATGCTCAAAAAGCATGTTAGTTTATTTTTTAGTACTCTCCTGAATAAGATATTTTACATAAAAGAGATTTAGATATAGTCCACAAGACAAAAAAATAGCTGAATTTATAAAAATGTCCCTGTTCAAAAGTTTATGAACCCTTGATTTTCCAGCATCTTTTGCATATTTGAACCCTTTCCAGAAGTGTCTGTATGACTTTGAGATCCATCTTTTCACACTGAGGACGAGTGACTCAAACACAACTATTAAAAAAGGTTCAAACATTCACTGATGCTCCAGAAGGAAACACTTCAGGGAAACATGTATGTAAGTATCTTCTGTTGCTTCTGAAGGGCACTACCATCCTGTTCATCAAATGTTTTCACCGTCGTGGATCATCCAGGTAACGACACACAGTATTAAGAATCAAGGGTATGTAAACTTTTGAACGGGGTCATTTTTATGAAATTCAGCTATTTTTCAGCATCTCGTCTGCTCACTGTGTCTGAGGCGGAGGTGGGGCTCAGGCAGTTCCTCCACACACACAGTTGTGGCCTAATTGTTAGAGAGTCGGACTTGTAATCTGAAGGTAGCGGGTTCGAGTCTCAGTACCGGCAGGAAATGTAGGTGGGGGGAGTGAATGAACAGAACTCTCTTCCACTCTCATTACCCACAACTGAGGTGCCCCAATCACTCCCCAGCACTGGCTGCCCTCTGCTCCGGGTGTGTGTTTGTTCACAGTGTGTGTGTTCAATACTCATTGTCACTGCTGTGTGTGTGCACTTGGATGGGTGAAATGCAGAGCACAAATTTCGAGTATGGGATCATGAGACACCATACTTGGCTAAAAGTCGTGTCACTTTTTTAAAATTAGGGACCATGTACAATTTCAAACATAAATGTTACCATTTGATGCATTGTACCAGAGTTAGCCATAGGCTAATTTACATCTGCAGTCCCCTGGCAGGGTACAATAATAAAAAAAAACATACTAATAACTAATATTTTGGCTACATCCATAGGGAGAGACGATCTAACCTGTCTAAAGTTTGCCAAATTATATTTTATAGTTTTTGTCATTTTCTTGAAGTTAAGATTCAAATCTAAAATGATACCAAGATATTTAAATTCAGTAACTATATCAATTGATTCATTTTTAATAAATATGTCTGCAGTTTGAATCTGCCCCTTGGTTTTACAAAAGAACATACCTTTTGTCTTGCTAATATTCAAGGTAAGACAAGATTGTTCAAGCCATTCAACAACACTTAAATCACACACATACACAGAGCGTGTCCGATTACATGCGTCTGTCATGCTTCAGGTCATATACAGTCATATAGCCTGTTTGTGAAAAAAATCAGTTTGTCATAATTTGTCAGAAGTAGGGGTGCCAGGATACGATACAAATCGTGATACTGAACTCATGATATTTTAAATAAAGACGTTTTTTATTATTATTATTACATTTTTATTATTATTTTATTATCAGGACCCACAAATATCCACCCATTGAATTATTATACATTAAATTCAGCATCATATAGTAGTTCAGTGTAGTAATGTCACTGAAACTCAAGCTTTCACTTCAGGCATCCATTGCACAGACTCTCCCAGTGCTCGCTATGTCCTGCCTCTCCCGATATTAATGCATTATACATATAATAAACCATCTAAAATGCTTTGAATAATCATACTACTAATACTAAATGTGAGGGTGATTTAAATTATGTTTGCGCTTTCACTTTGAGGAGTGCCGCTCCAGCTCTTATGTGCTTCATTTGAACAATGCAATCAATCACAGCACGTCAAAATGACTATTCCCAAACTGTACATTTTAATTCTGCATTTACACTCACACAATCTCATGTTGTTTTCGCGCGTCACACAAGCATTTTAATGTTTGTGTTTACTACAGTATGCCGTTGTAAATCTGTTAAAGTCATAAAGTCATCGTGTCTCTTCAGAAGACTTGGATTTGGATTAGACCACTCGATTGATTATTTTTGCAATGCTTTTATGAAATTTTTTGGATCTTTTAAGTTTTATCTTAAGTTAAATGGACTTTAAATGGAGAGACAGAAATCTCTCAGGTTTCATTAAAATATCTTCATTTGTGTTTGGAAGGTGAACGAGAATCTTATAGGTTTGAAATGTGAGTAAATGATGACGGAATTACATTTTTTGGGTGAAATATACAGTACCTTATAAATATTATATATATATTATATAAGGTGAGCCGTCTTACAAAAGCTAGAGCTTACAAAGCTGTTCTCCGTAAAATGTTCAGCACACAGATAAACGTTTGGGTTTTAATGTTCAGGAACAGTGTTTAAAATACATCTTAATCACTCTTAAGTTCGTCAGCCTTAGGAAGGTCAAACAAAGTTTTGGGAATGTTGTGGAAAAAACAACACTGTCCTTTCTAATGCAGCTCAGCCAGGCCTCACCTTTTTTGCATATTCCGTGGGCAGGTATTATTTAAATGAGTATCATTGTGACTTCATAAGATCTGGAAAAATCGCGTTGTAGTCCAAGCGTTCATTGTAGTTCGTTGTAGTACTGGTTCGGTACAGCATGGGGGAGTAAACTAAACACAAAATTGCTTCGTTTTTCTTCTTTTTTTTATTAAACTGTTTTTTAACTGTTGTTTAAATAAATACTATTATAATTAAAATGTTCTTAAGGCTAAAATAATATATCTTAGCTAATGCTGTAAACAATATTAGGACCCCTTAATTACATATTACTATAATCTTAAAGGTTAGAGAACAGAGCCCAAATTATTAAATTCAGTTGCTATTTATTTCTAGATATAATAATCAACACTCGAATGAAAAAACAAACAAACATGTACTGTAAATTGCACATAAGGCAGGGTTTGCATTAACTTATAAATCTAATTATAAAGTAAATTTTCTACTCCAATTCTTGAAATATAATCATTTACACAGTGGCTGTCATATCTTGTTTTCATGACAAATGTATTTAAACATACATTACATAATCAAGATATTACTAACAGGTTAAGTAAATATAATGAATAGGCTAATATAGTGCAAATAAGAAATGCTTCTCTAGAGTTCATTTCTCTAGCGAACTAACTTGCTGTCGACGCTAAATGCCTGAGGTAAATGTAATGCTACGTGAGATATTATTATCAAACTGTTTTATTGATATCTTTCCGCAGTTGAAACACTGGTTTAGAGATGTAAACATACCGATCAATCTTATCTTCCTTTTCCTCTGCACTTTTTACTGGTAGCAAACAGCATTACATTACCACGCACGGCCCCCCTTCTGGATTGGAGTGTGGATCGCCTTTGACTGTATGTATTCGTCGTGCGACGTCCGTAGTCCGTACCGTACGGTTTGGGATGAATACATGTACCGTTACTCCCCCATATGTATATATATATGTGTATATATAATGAATATAATTTCAGTTACATTTTAAATGAACAAATATAATTCTAAAAACTTGTTTTAAAGGCTGAAATGTGAGGTTTATCATTTTATAAAACTTTTTTCCTGCTTTTGGCACTAGTGTAACAATATTCAGAAGAAGGAAGGAAGGAGGCGGGAACCGGCGAACGTTCACAAACTTTATTATATAAATAAACTCAAAAAGAAAGTAAAAGCAGCAGCCACTCATGGACTTAAAGATAACGCAACGTAAAAGTCCAGGCCTGGTCCTCTCTCGTCCTTCACTGTCATCACTCCTCCTTTTATGCTTCCGAAGCTCCTCCGTGAGAGATACGAGACCGGAAAATAATGCAACAAACTTTGTTTCGGCTGTACAGCAGATCTAAAAGAAAATAGTGTCATAGTCCAGCTTAAGTAAGTTCAGCGATGGTTCACATCATCATCTTTATATTTATTTTCATGTTTTGGATGTTACCATAGACCATGTACCAAGTAAGTTTGGCATCGGGCCAAAAAAACAATTTCGCCACTAGATGGCGGGCCAGAACATAAATGCAACTAGAATTGCCTGTGACAGACTGTTACAGTGTCTTTTGTTACTGGTAGTGAGCTGTTACTCTGTGTTAAATCCTGTAGTACATTTAAATGTAATGAAGTGGTCAAAATCATGTCTGACCCACATGTCTCCCGATTATTGGCATCTTGCAACACATCCCGCCTTGCTAAAACACACATATGTGGGAGATGCGGAATGGATAAAAATAACAAAAAAATAAATAAAATAGGACTTAAATAAGCCCATTAATGGCATGTTTGAGTCATGCTCTTAACGAACTACGTTTTATTTCCTCTTTCCATATTGTGAATAATAAATGTGTTGTAGTCACATTGAGATGTGCCTTAATTAGCTCAAATTATGCATAGGGAATTTTAATAATTAATCATGAATATGATTAATATATTGCATATTACAGTTAAATTATCGAAATTGAAAATAGATCGATTGTATATATGAATGATCAATCATAACGAATTGTAATTCCTCATTCATATATCAATGGTCTCATTACAGATCGATTATATGAGATAACTTTAAGGGAATCAATTGGCTATCAAACAATCGGTTTGTCCAGCAAACGGCTGTAAGATTAACCCATCAATTAATTCAACAACGTTATCCCTTTTTATAAACTCCAAGAAATCTCAATGTTCCGGCCGTGAACATTAATTTTCTCGTGTTTATAAAATTTACGTTACTGATATAGTAACAACTTGTAAAGCTTTGTAGCTATAGGATCGCATTTTATTGACTTGTAAAATATGAGCATTCAAAACAATCAAGAATATAATGGTTTTAATAAAATGAAACTACGGATACAGAATTCTACATTTAAACACGGGATACATGTATGTACAGTAAACAGTAAAACAAATGAGACAGACGAATAACAAACAGGAGTGAGAGAGAGAGATTGCGAGAGCGCAAGATTGGGAGTGAGAGAGAGAGAGAGAGAGAGAGAGAGAGAGAGAGAGAGAGAGTGAGAAGATGAGAGATCTTCTGGTTTGGCA